TGGCGTGTTCCATTTTTCAGGGATAGTTTCCTGCATCCAGATCATGTATATGAGGTCGTACAGCTGTTTTATTAGTTCTTCTCCACCATTCTTTATCAGCTCAACTGGAATTTCGTAAATACTCGCAGATTTATTCTTTAAAGACATAATTATCTCTTCTATTTCTTCCTTCTCTGGCGGTATCCCTTCTTCCTCACACATGTTACCTCCATTTCTTTGTGTTTCTCTATGCCTCCTTGATTCAATATTTCTGAAATATTCTGTCAATCTACTTAGTATTTCTTTCCTTGATCCCAGCAAGTTTTCACATTTATCATTACAATTTATTCTTTTTTTGTTTTACTTCCTCAAAATTTTAAAATACAGATAGTAATGTAATCATTTTTAAAACAAACCAGGGTGGGAATATCAAAATTCATTTCACATATTAACTGACCCAGATGAGAATTGAACCCACAATATTCTACACCTATCACTTCCTTCGCCCCAACATGGTTGGTCATCACGCCCTCCAAATATATATAGATAGATAGAAAACAAAACTTTATTCTGGGACTAAGTCCCTTCAGAATAACAATAATGTACAAAATAATAGAATATTACTGGCCTATACGTTTGAAACAATAAATAAAATTGATAAAATAAAATAAAAAGTAAAGAAAACCTTAGGTACACAAGCTATATACAATACAGATAAAACTATGTACAGAACATTTAAAATTATGAACAAAACAATTAAAACTATGAACGAATCACTTGAACTATGAACAAAATTATATATAAGGGTTGAACAACATAAACATACACTTTGAGAAATGAAGAACGAAAAAGAGATACAGTGAGTTCATTTCATAAAATAAAATAAAAAAAACTTTACTTGAATATGTATATAAAAATAAACAGTTAATTATAATTGAATAAAAAAAAAAAATGTATGTATTGAAATTCCTACGTCGATAGTAGGAAATGCATGTACTATCTCTAGTATCAAGTATTATGATTATATGATTGCTACACAATACATATATAATATTAATAGTTAGCTGGTATCTGACTGTTTTTGGAACAGGAATTGGAATAGGAGGTTTTTGAATGTGTATAGGGAAGGGGCATGTCGAATTTTGATCGGGAGGGAATTCCAAAAGTTGACAGAGCGAGCTATAAAGGAATTTTGGAATGAGGCAGATCTATGAGAAGGGATATATAGGTCAGAGGGTCGGGATCTTGTAGTGAGGGAATGGATTGAGGACTTAAATTGGAGAAGGTTGTAGGCATAAGAAGGACGATGATCGGTAATGATTTGATAAAGGAAAGTGCCTAGGAAATATTGTCTTCTTAAGGAGGGGAAGAGCCACCCTAACTCAGTGTAGTGGTGGGAGACACGGGAGCGTCTTGGGGTCCCAATTATAAATCTTACGAAGCTATTCATAAGTCTTTTGAGTCTATCACGGAGTTCCACTGAGAGGCCATCGTACACCACACAGCTGTAGTCAAAGTGGGGAAAGATGAGAGAGGAAACTAGGAGTCTACGGGTATTTTGTGGTAGAAGATGGCGGAAGTGATGGAATAATTTGAGGGTAGAAATTGCACGGCGGGATATATGAGAGATATGGTGATTCCAGGAAAGGGTTTGATCTATGAGAAAGCCTAAATTTTTAACAAAGGGATAAAAGGTGATGGGGTGGTTGTTAAGATAGAGTGAGGGAAAGTTGGTGTGGGATCTAAGAAGAGGCTTGGAACCAATGAGAATGGCCTGCGTTTTGGCAGCATTTAGCCTTAATCCATTTAAGTTGGCCCAGGCACTAATTCGATCTAAATCTTCTTGAATTATGGCAAATGCCACCAATAACTCAGCGGGAGAAAAGGATAAATAGATTTGAGAATCGTCGGCATAAAGGTGGTGGGAACAATGGATAATTGAATCATTTAGGTCATTAATATAAGAGCTGAAAAGGAGAGGAGACATGCTTGAACCCTGTGCAACTCCAGAGGATAAAGGAAGGTAGGCAGATAGAGGTAGATTAGGTATGGAAACTGCTTGGGTTCGTTGTGAGAGAAAAGACTGGAACCAAGCGATGTAACTATTGGAGAAGGATAATGATTTTAATTTGTTGAAAAGGATGGAATGGATAATGGAATCGAAAGCTTTGGAGAAATCAAGAAGTATAAGTATGGTTAGTTTTTTGTCATCTATTGCAGTCTGAATATCACTGGTAATTTTAATCAGAGCAGATTGTGTAGAGTAGCCAGGACGGAAGCCAGATTGGAGAGGATCGAGTTGGTTGGATTGTTCAAGGAAATTGGAAACTTGGGATTGCACTAACCTTTCTAGGGGTTTAGAAAGATTGGAAAGGATTGATATTGGGCGGAAATCTTCGGGAGAGGATGGATTAGGCTTTTTGTTTAAAGGAAGGACAATGACTTTTTTCCAAGAGGTCGGGAATATTGAATTCTGCAGGGAGAAATTGAAGATGAAAAGGAGTGCTGGGAGGATTTCAGGGAGACATAATTTTATTAGTATGATAGGAATGCCATCTGGGCCTACGGAATTGGAATGGGATTTCATTATAACGGTAATAAGGTCTGTGGGAGAAATGTCGGAAAAATAAAAATTATTGTCGTTAAAAGGTACCTCTGGAGAAAAGCCAGAAGGGGAGGGTAAAGAAGAGGTGGAAACCGATATAAAGTGGGAGTTTAGGTCATCAGGTGATATTGGGAAAACTGAGGAAGCTTATGAAGTAGAAGCCATTTTGATTTGATATCAGGAGCTGAGGAAAGGGCTTCATGAAAGTAGTTCGCTTTCGCTTGTCGGATCCTTGTCTGTGTCGTGTTATGAAGCACTCTGAATGTTTGATAATCATCTGCAGGCCTAGTCCGTCTAAAGCGTCTGCGTGCAGCGTCGCGTCTCTTCTGCAGATCCTTAATTTCCTGACACATCCAAGGAGCAGGGCAATGACGGAAGGTGGAGGTTTTGAGAGGAGCGTGGGTATTGAGTATATTGAGAATATTAGTGGTGAGAATATCAACCATGGTGTCGACAGAGGAGCAATGATATATTCCATTCAAATCCAATGTTAGTAGATCAGGTAATATTTTTTCTCAAGTAAGGGTATCCAGTTAGCGGAAAGTGATAGTTCGAGGATGGATTGGAGGAGTGCGGATATTATACGTTATTTGTATCAGATCGTGAGATGAAGGAAAGGACACTGGCAATTGAGAGGTGGAGAGGAGGTTTTGTGCTGAGTCGATGATGTAGAAGTCTAGCCAAGTGTCAGACCTGCTGGTGTGGTGGATGGAGGAAAAAGGAACGATGAATAGGTGAAGTGAGAAAAACAGATTTTCTAAATAGGATTTGTCATTGGAGTTTGAGAGGAAATTGGTATTGAGGTCACCGGAGATAATTATTCTGGGATATAGGGGAACGAAGTTGAATAGGGTTGATTCAAAGGATGGGTCAAATGGCACGAGAGGAGGGCGATATAGCACGGCGTAAAGGATAGGAGAGGTATTACTGAGAATTTCTACTAAGAGGTATTCTACATGAGGATGATCTGAAGGTGGGGAGCAATCGAGGATTCGGGTCTTTAGGCTATTGTGGACAAACATGGCTACCCCACTGCCAGTCCGGTTTACCCGGTCATGACGGGTCACATAAATGATGAAGGATCACATAAATAAATTGTTAGAGGACCAAAACCATTGAAGAGTATGAACTAAAACAGTGCCTTATTAATATTTAAATCCTTTCATTTCCCACTGCACCTATATCTTCAAATAATGTTAAATACTATTTTCAGATGAGAGGATTGACATTCTGTATATTAGTGCAGGCAACAGTTGAATTAAGTTGAGAAACTAAGTTTTTATAATAGTATGGTAGGGTCAAAGCTATAAAAGAAAAATGCTATATTTTTTATATTTTACTGTAGATATTTCTTTTATATATATATATATATATATATATATATCTGGTCGTTGGCCCCGTGTGGATAGATTCATAATTGGTAATTGGTTGACTGTCGTGGATAATGAAGAGAAGAATAGTTGGGGTGCTCAGTCAAAAAAGGAAGGCAAAAATAAATTATAATATTTATTTTTTACATCTGCCGACGTTTCGACCTGAAGTTCAGGCCATCATCAGGGCTTTCTCCTAAAATGTCAAAGTGAGAAAGCCCTGATGATGGCCTGAACTTCAGGTCGAAACGTCGGCAGATGTAAAAAATAAATATTATAATTTATATAATTTATTTTTGCCTTCCTTTTTTGACTGAGCACCCCAACTATTCTTCTCTTCATTATCCACGACAGTCAACCAATTACCAATTATGTATATATATATATATATATATATATATATATATATAATGTATATTTGTACGTACTTGTATATATATATTTCAGAATCTAAGATATGAACAATGAGACAGCATCTATTATGAAGTAAAATTTATTATTTAATATTGAACCTATTTCTTTAAGAATATTTCTAGTATCTTTCAGTCTTACTGGATAAAAATATTGTATTTTTTGTTCTTTGAATCAAAGAATCAAACAATCTAATTCTATATAAATTGTTTTTGCCCAAATCTAGTGTTCTACACTGAAGTAGTCTTCTACACAACAATCAGAACAAAAAGGAGTAAAAATTATAAAGATATATTTGAGATAACTCACAGATGGTTAATTTCATGAATAAAGAAAATTAAATATAAATTGAAATATTTATATAAGTAATATAACTGAGTAAAAATTTAACTCTTATTTTTAATCAATACAATCTGCAATTGATAGCAAATAGGTAATTAATATTCATGTCTTATTTACAAAATAAATAACACATGAAAAACTCAAAATGCAACCATAAATATTTAAAATATTCACATCTGTCCTGGGAAATCATGAATAATTTTCTCACAGCAAAAAGCAGGCCTCCAGAAGATCCCTATGTTTCTACTCCAGCAAAGATGTTAATAAAGAAAGCTATTGGTCGTTCCTTCTTCAATCTCCTTGGAATTGAGTACTTACGAATAGAACTGTGCAGTAGTTGAACCAGAGAATTATGAAGTAGAGGATGAAAGGTACATTGAGGAAATAATGTAGGATTATAGTATTAGATTCAGACAGATATCATCTCACTAGCAAATTTTATTATTTATTCAGGATTCTGTAATGAAATAGGATGGTTTCAAAATCAAAATTGTTAATTCAATAATTAATTTACAAGTATAAATACAAAGTTATAGAATATCCATTAGCACTCTAGCATTATTTAATAAATAATATGTTCACAAAATATGCTTTATTGAAATTTAGACATTCTTGGAACCATGCCTAGAAGTGATCTCTTGCAGCATATTGATGGAATTGCTTCAATCTTTTTCCAAATCTATTAACTGAGGACTTGAATAGTTCTGGGTAGATTAACCTGAAAATACTTTTGTTTTTAGGAGCCCCCATAAAAGAAGACTCAAGCCGCTAAATCGGGACCCAGGACGCAAGGGGACCAAGGAAGATCCACCAAAAACTATCAAAGTCCTCTATTTGAGACAAGATTGAAGCAATACTTGTGGACATGTTCTGAGAGGTTATGTAAAACTTCAAAGAATGCATACATTTTAATGGAGAGTATTTAGTGAACGTAGTGTTAAGAAACAACTTTTTTTTTTTCAATTGTACAACAAATAGCCATTTTTGTATTTTATTTTATACTTTTATTAATTCTTTAATAATATAATTTTGGAATCGTGTCATTTCACTGCCGAGCCCAGTATTTTCAAAATAAAATAAATTATTGTATATATATAAAAAAATATTGTCAGTACTGATGAATTGGAAAAATATGATACCAATTTACAGAATATTAACTTCCATTGCATTTAATTAAATGGACTATCCTCGTTGTCTTCCAATAACGTACTCTGTGTAACTTAAATAACCATCTCTATCATGATCATCTTCTTCCAGAACTTGATCAATCAGATCTAAAAAAAATGATTACCTGTTATTTAAGACTTTTGTTTATCACTAACTCGATAATATAAGAATCATTAAATTATAGAGTCTAATACAAAATATCAATAGCTGTAAATAGATCTAAATTCAATATTTAGAATTCAATTAGACTAATAAAACAAAACTTTCTTTTGTCTATTATTTTCTTTTTTTTTTTTGCTGAGGTATCAACCAAATTGCTTGCTAAAAAGTTGGAAAAGAGTTTTTTGTTGATATATCATATCTTCGTTATTATTTCATCAAAACCAATGTTTTTCCATCATAAATTTGAAGATCATCTTTCCTACTAAGAATCAAAATTAAGTAAGATACAGCATATTGGACTTTCTATGGATGTTTTGGTTTGTTATTTTCAATAGTAAATATTTGAATGCAACCAACCAAAGGAAAAAAAAAGATTAGGTAATTTTCCTCTAAATTATTGAAATTAGTTATTACCATTTGGTGATTGACCAATATACTAAGTGCATTATTAGCACCAGTGTTGGCTTTAGGGCTGAGCATTCTGGATGTTGCCCAGGCATTCCGTAAATTCTGGCACCAGGGACTTCTTTTTAAACTCAAAACTATACTACCTCATACATACTATCTCATTCTTCAGTGTTTCCTTTTTGACAGATTTTTCTCTGTCCGACAGGGCTTAGAAATTTCCTCAATTCGACCAGTGTCGGCAGTAGCACATCAGGGATCAATATTGGCTCCTTTATTCTACATTATCTATAAGCATGACATGCCTACCACCTCTGATACATTGACTGATTACTTACAACAATGATCATACAACAATTTTAATAATTGGTATTCACTTCGGAAAATTAGATTAAATCATGACAAATCACAACATATAACATTTACACTTCGACGAGACACATGTCCACCAGTTTGTATCAGCAACAACCAAATTCCCCAGAGAGACACTGTACTTTATCTCGAGTTAATATTTGACAGAAGAATGACCTACACTTACCTACTCAAACCCATATGGATACACGCCTCACAAATTTACGGTTCTGCAAAAAAGACGCACTCACAAAAAACTACAGATATTTCTATCCAAAATATTATGGCTTATAACAGGAGCTCCTTGGTATGTAAACTACAAAACTTTAAATAACGACTTACGGCAACCAGCTATTGACCTACACATCCGTGATCTCTATTCCAGATTTCATCTTAAACTACACGGACATCATAATGGACTTATTAATGACATGCCGATCAGGAGACATCTAAAGAGGAGCTGGATGAGAAGAGATCTACTTTCCTGAGTTAAGGAATTAAATCAAGACCAGGAAGAAGTGCTGCTGGGTACTACTTTTTTTCCTCATGCCTAAAACGTCAATTTGTTCTTATTAGTTACAGCACATCTGCTTATTGTCAAGCTCATGACAGGTGTGAATGGAAATATGAAGGAAAAAAAATAACTTGGCCTACTTTCCTAGAAGCAGCTTTTGGTTTTTGTAGTTTAAGATACATTATAACTCATTTAATATAATAGTTAATAATTTGTTCTTATTCTGTACAAAAAACAAAAAGATTGATATACAATAACCTAAAAGTCTGGGCAAAGCAAAAGCAAAAATAAATAACATAAATTTTGTTCAAAATTACATAAAATATTTTTTTCTCAACTCCTAGGATCCATTGGAAAGAATGCTGTGATATGTATTTTTTCGATCTATTGTCAACAAAAAAAAAATTTGTTTGAAATCGGTGATCCACAGACTGTATGAATCCTCTTTTTGTAAGTTGTTAAAATAACTATTTTTCAGTTGCAAACAATTTATTTTAAAATCCCAAACATTTACTAAGAATTACATTAAAAAACCTTGTTAGTCTATTCTTTCTGAATAATTAACTGAAACAATGGACTGTTCTTTTTGTAACCTTGATATGATTTAAAGTATGATTTTATATGAAAACTTGTTTGTATTATGCAATATGGTAGTTTTGATAAAAGTAATTTCAAAGGATATTCACCAACAAAATAATTGAAGTCTTCAGGAATCGTAAGGGATTTATTGCCAATATTGTCGTGAGTTCCTTTAGACAGTTCACCAGTATTACTGTGCTCAATAGTGTGCCTGATTGCCTGTAAAATCTCCAGACCATCAAGTTTAGTATTGTTGTCATAGTCATGTATTCTGAAACAATGAGCAAATAAAAATAGTAGTTACTTATTTAACAGCATAAAGTGCAATGATTATATCTGCAACCACAATTATTAGTGGTTAATGAATTACATTAGGGTTTCATTGGTTGAGCCAAAAATAATTGATAACCATCCTCAACATAATAAAGATAGACAGGTTGATATTAAATAATAGGTGTTCTTTTTCGAAAGGGCTTTGTTTTTATTGCTAACCAGGATGAAAATAAAAAATTTTTAGAAAAATTTCAAGGTTGAGAGGAGAAAAAAAGGAAAACAATTTTTATCAATCAAAGCCTAAACTGATCAGACTTTAATCTACTTTTAAAATAACATGAGTAAATCATACATAAAAGGAGTGGTAACATATAAAATTACATATTATTTTGAATATATTTTTGGCAGAAGGGATTTTTAAGTTCATTCTGAGGGAAAAAAAGGGAAATTAAAGGAAACATAGTGGAAACACCTTTGCTAATCTGGATTGCTGATGTAGTTGTCCTAGTTTTTGTTTGGCCCACCTTAAAATATTATCATTTACAAAAGATTATTTCTAATAATATCAGCATATTATCCAGTCTTTGATTTAATTTTCAAATACAATTTTTTTTTAATATAAATTAATTGTTTTGTAGAAGTCACATAGTGATAACACATAAATCTCTAATATATGTAATAGTAATTTTTATTATATTAATTTAAGTCTAATAAATTTAGATTAGTACGACACTATAGACACTCATTTCAAAACTTTAGGTTAAAATAAGTAAAAATAAATATTATTGATTTTATTACCAAACATTGTGAATAAAAAAATTTACAGAGACAGGATAATATGGATAGTATAAAAAATATATAGAATAAATAGCATATAATTACTTAAAATATTGAAATTCAAGTTCTTCCGGTGATAATTTGTTCAAATCTTCAATGTTGGCTGATTTACCAAGATCTTCCTGTATATGTCTGAAAAGATAGTAGAGAATATAAGTCAACATATTCAAAAATAACACATGACTAATTAAATGTTAGGTAAGATTATTTTCAGTTTTATAGCCAATATTTATAATGTTAAACTTAGTATTTACTTAAGTAACATAATGCTCCAATATGAGCTAAATATAAGTTATAATGCTTTAAAGAATTGCTCAATAATAATATTATTAGATAAATAAACAAATATCATATTAAATATATTTTGTCATTGGATTTAGTTCTTATACGAGATATTAGAAAATATCAAAAAATAATAAAAAGTGTTTATATCATCCTACCCAGTGTCATGAAGTAAATCGGCATCCATAGTGATTTTTGGTGAACCAGGGGTTGGCCTGTAGTGAGGCGAACCATGAGGATGGTGTGGCCCTCTGCTGTCCACTACACTCTGGCAGACAAACATTAATACACCTTGAAGAACCATGAATAACATCATTCTTTCTGCAAAACACAGTCTCATTTATCATTATATAATTAGATTAATGTAGTATAATGTTTATAATAAGATCTAACTAAATTCTGCATGAAGATAAAACAATAGAAAGTTATACTTACCATTGATTAAACTAATTAAAATTAAGTAACTAAGACAAAAAAAAAAAACATGTAACATTATAACTCATGGAAGGTATTGGGTTCATTCCTTAGTAAGGAAGAATTGTTTCTTATTTAACTATTAAGCAAGGAGGTGATTTAAGAGAAATCATAATCAAACTCCAGTTTTTTCTTATTAATCAGTATTTAATTAAACTTACTCACAATATAGAGGCTGAATGTACTCCAGCAGGATCTGATGTAGGATGTAACATCAGCAAGACCCTAAGGTGGAACCATGGCTGATGTTACAAAATAAATAATTATCTTCTAAAGCCATATTTGAACCCAGGACCGTTAGTATAGGAACACAGTTCTTTATTCATTGAGCTACTTCCCTTATAAAACAAAAAACTATTTGTTAAAAAAATTTAACAACATAACTTTTTGTTAAAAATAAGAGAGATGTGAAATATTCCAATGTTTTAGGTTTGCATACAGTAACAATGTCAAATAAATAAAGAAAAATTGAGATAGTAAAAATTAAACTGGTGACAGTCAGTCAGTTCACCAGTTTCAATCTTAGTCCGAAAACACAGCCTAGAACTGCTGTTAAAAAAAAATCAGTGAACTAAGTCTCAACCTCCACAGTTTCCAGATTTATTGGATGTTTTTCAATATGGTATCAACCTCAAACACTGTATTTATTAACTGAAACAATGGAGCATCATTTTGTAATTTTTATTCTAACAGGTCACGGGGGAGGGGAAGACTTTGCGATTAGATGAAGCCTCCTTCCCCAGATAGTAACTTTTTTTTCAATGGTCTAAATCTGTTTCTAAGAATGATCTGAGCTACATGCTTACACAATCACAATATGATCTTTTTAAAAATTAAAATGTATATTTGTATAGCTACCAACGCATTATACAGCTATTAATTATACACATAATTAACAGTTGTTTTTTTTGTTGTTTTTTTATATAGACCGTACAAAATTAAATCCTGAATACTGGAGGCTTAAAATACAGCAAAATTCAAGTCAATTTTACTTAACAATTACATAAAATTAAACAGTTAATTAAACAAATAAAAAGATAGTTTTAAAAATTAATAAAATTGTGAGTAAGTTCAAATTTTAAATTAAAAAATATTTTTATTAATTTAAAGGAGAGGTGCAGACTTCAGGAGGTGGAGGGCAATTCCTTCCCTAAGAATACTGTTTAGCCCCCTCCCCAAAAACTTAATTAAAAAAAAAATTAAAAATGATAACAAATAAGCTACATAAATGAATAAAAAATGTAAACTAAAATCGATTACGAATATAAGAAAATTCGACTAGCTGGCTAGGCTAAGGTACATAAGTAGGTACGTACCTATTTTACCATGACCTAAATATACCTATTATTTAAATTTTCATTTATATTTAGGAATAATAATATAGAAACATATCCTAGGATTTTATGATTCATTCAGCTTTCATTTGGAAACCTCCATTTTCACGTGATTTTCTTATAGATAGATAGATAGATAGATAGATAGAAAGTAATCTTTATTCTGGGACGAGGTCATTTATGAATAACAGTTATGAACAAAAAAATAAAAACCACATCTGGCCATAAATTAAATTAATCAATACTAAAGAAAATATACAGTATCTCAGTAAAAGTATATTATAAGAAGTAATAATAACACCATTTTGAAAAAACAAAAACATTATTTAAATGGAAAAACAAAACAAAATAATGTAAGCATGGGCTGATTTTTAAAATTAAAACTCAATCAATTTTAATAACCATTCACCTCAGTCAAAATCTGTTTCACAATATTTCTTTCATTGTATAAGTCATTTTGGGACACAGGCGGATTTACAGGGGAGGGTTTTCGGGTTGAAGCCCTCCCCCCAAAATGGTAAAATGTAGCCATGTTTTATGGTAAAAAATATTAAAAAATTATGTCTTATAAAGTATTATAAGTATTATTGCTCATTTAATTACATTACATAGGACTTCAAAAATCACTTAACACCGTTTCATATAGATAGTTAGTATCTTTCTGTTTTTCTAAAGTAATTATCGTTATATATATGAAAAAAAAAGCTTCTGGGCTGAAGCCTCCTTCCCAAAAAATTAAATCCTGGATCCGACAGTGTTTTGGGATGTAAGAAGGAATTGGTAGAGATGATATTTAAATGAGGACAAGGATGAGGCATGGCGAATAACAGATGGCAAGGAATTCCAGAAGGCAGTGGATCGGGCAATAAAGGAATATTCAAATGTCTTAGTTCTATGGGAAGGGACATAAAGGTCGGAAACACGGGATCTTGTTCTCTGGGAGTGGACAACGGGTTTGAACTGTAGGAGACTGTAGATGTAGGAAGGGTGTCGGGTGTTGATCGTTTGGAATAGGAAAGATCCAAGGAAATATTGTCTGCGTAAAGAAGGGAAGAACCACTTTAACTCATCGTAAAGGTGGGACACATGAGACCGCCTCGATGTACCGAAGACAAATCTTAAGTAGGTATTCATGAGTCGCTTCAATCTATCCTCGAGTACCGTCGGGATGCCTCCGTACACCACACAGCCGTAGTCAAAGAGGGGGAAAATGAGAGAGGATATACGGAGCTTGCGGATGGATTGTGGGAGTAGGTGGCGGGAGCGATGGAATAGCTTAAGGGTACCTATTGACTTACGGGAGAAGAGGGCGATATGGGGTTTCCAGGAGAGGTTTTCGTCTATGGTGATTCCTAAGTTTTTAACAGAGGAGCTGAATGTGACAGGATGGTCGTTGATGACTAAAGGAGGAAGGAAGGAGATGGATTTAAGAGTAGGACTGGAACCAATAATAATGGCCTGAGTTTTCATCGCGTTTAGCTTTAAATTATTCAGACTTGCCCAGACATATTCTGGGATAAAGTTAGAAAAAATATATTTAATAATTACAAGTATAAATATATTTTATAGAGAATGTTGTTATAGACATTTTTACAAAACTAGCCAGATTGTGAAAACGTTTTAATTTTATTTGGCGGTTGTACAAAATTAAGAAATCAAAAGTATTTTTCAGTTTTAAAGATCTAGAAATGTACCTTTGTTATGGAGGCTGTCCCCCTTCATGACTATTATATTTGGTCGTTTTACTATAATTATATTAATTTTTACACATGATATGAACTACGGCCATTTTATTTATTTTTTTGGATCCATCTCCCCCCAATCAAAATGGAAAGTGCCTATGATTCTAAGACAGTTTTAACTCTTGAGAGACTGATGATTCCAAAATAGATTGAATAATTTTTAAAAATCAACCATAAAAAGTTCTTTTAATTATAGAACGTTTAATGGCTAATTGTGTAAATCTTCAATTAAAAGGTTGATTATAGATCAGTATTGAGAATAAACAAAGACAAAAATTAATATTTATGAAAAATAAATGTTTTGGTGATGAGGTTAGTATAGGTAACAACTATAATTGACCTGAGTGTATAGGTCAATAAACTATACCTCATTCAGGGTTCCATCCTATATTTCCCTAGTACCATCTTTGGCTTGTTCCATCTCGTGTCCTACGGAACCCAATTTCGGAAGATGATTTGTATCGTACTTCAGAACATGGTCACAGACTTCAGACCTTCTCCACCAATAAAAATTGAGAGGGGGCGAAAAACAAAAATAAATTCAAAATCAATAACAATTAATCTACCTGAATGGATAAAATATGTAAACTAAAATCAATTAAGAAAATAGGAAAAGCCGCCAAGATGGCTAAGCTAAGGCCTAGAAATAGGTAAGCAAGTATTTTACAACCTCCTTATGTTCCTATTGTTGAAATTTTAGTTTATATTCAAAGAATATTATATGTAGAAACATATCCTAAGATTTATTTATGTGCGCCCTTCCATTTTTACATAAAGATTTTATTACAGTTCAGGCGGCAAATTTGAATCATCGGAGAATTTAGAGTTCATCTCATTGCCTAAAACCTTTAAATAAAAATATGTAATATATTTAATTGCTTTTTTAACCTATTTTCAAATACCTATATACCCACACACACAAAAAAAAGAAATTATATTTAACATAAATATTATTTTAGTTTTACTATAAACGTAAACAACAGATGCAAAGTACGCATACAGCGTGCATAGCCTCCTTACATTAAAATGCCCTTGGGCAATAAAAGGAAATTAAAAAAAATTATGTATATATAACATTTATATATTGTATTTTGTAATAAATAAATTCCTGGGGGGGTAGGAAAAAAAAGTTTTACTATAGTATTATTATTAGTGCAAATCTATATAAATAAAATAAAGTTTTTGTCTCTACATTGAATAGAATCAACCCGTTTTATGATATCCGTTTCATACATAGCAGACACCAAATCCAGTTTTAAAAAATTTTTTGTCTATCTGTATGTCCGCATTGCAACGAAATTTTGTCAGAGGTAAGCTAAGCAATAGCTTGTTGCAGACTTTTGAAACTTTGACATTATATTAAGGTTTGTTTGACTTAAAACATGGGCTTTAAATTAAAACAAAATATTGAGTAGAACCAAAGTTATGTAAAGATATCGGTTAATGTTGATAATAAATGTTAATAATAAACGTATGTTTATAGGTTAAAGAACATCTATATAAATAAAACAAAAGTTTTGTCTGTACATTGAATAGAATCAACCCTTTTCCTTATATCTTACCGTTTTATACACTACGCTCACCAAATCCACTTTTAAAAAATTTGTCGTCTGTCTGGATGTCCGCATTGTCCAACGAAATTTTGACAGGGGTAAGCTCGGCAATGGCTAATGGCAGACTTTTGAAATGTTGACCTTATATTTAGGTTTGTTTGACTTAAAATATAGGCTTTAAATGAAAACAAAATATTGAGTAGAACCAAAGCTATGAAT